CCCTGAATGTCACACGTCTGCTCGTTCGGTTCAGTGTTTGAGAGTTTAGGCTTCAGATATTCGTATTCTTGCTTCTATTATATGCCGTAATCACTACTACTACTACTACTACTACTACTACTACTACTACTAGTACAAGTACTAGTATTACTACTACTAATACTAGTACTACTACTAGCGGTACTTGCAAGAACTACAGCCCAGACACCCCGGCAATGTCCTGCATCCCAAGATTCCCGCATGTGCGCCCGAAGCAAAACCCATAACGCGATTCAACAACTAAGCTCTGAAACCTGAGCCCGGCATCGATGCTAATGCGCTTCCATGGAACGGGGTTTGGGGCGGGGGTGAGTTTATAAAAGTAGTCGAGTTTCAGAGCTCATGTTGGTCAGGATCTCAATAAAGCCCTGGGCTCCAATCGCAAGTGTCAGGTTTAGGGTTTAGGGGTGAGTTTAAAGTAGTCGGGTTTTAGAGTTCATGTTGGTTGGGATAACAACGTTTATTAAACCACTCCCTGAATGGGCTGGCCTCCAGCCACAAGCGCCAAAGGTCGCCTCATCCATAAATTGCTGCACATCCAATGGGCCTTGGCTGATCTCCAATCTTGGAACCCTGGAGTTCCAACATCCAATAATGGGCCTTGGCTGATATCCAGATTAAATGCAGCTCGGAACCCTGGAGTTCCAAATAATGAAGCCTTGAGCCAGACGTTCCTAGTAGAAACCTTACAATCCCGAAGCCTCCTCCGGAAACCCTGAACCCGCAAGCTTCATCCCCACAGCTTGAGAAGAGTCTAGGGAGCGATTGGGGTTATATAAGGTTTGGGTTTCAGGCAGGGGTTTCGAGTTTGGGGTTTCCGGCTTAGGGTTGGCAATGCTCCTGCTGGACCTGTCTAATCCCCACGTACTAAACTAGAAACCCTAAAACCCCGAAGCATCCTCGAAACCCTGAACCTGGAAGCCTCTTCCCCAAACACTTAAGATCCCGAGCTAACCTTTCCGGTTTCGGCTTAGGGAGCGACTGGGTTTAAGCAATCCCGAAGCCTCCTCCCGAAACCCTGAATCTGGAAGCCTCTTCCCCAAGATGCCGAGCTAACCTTCCCGGTTTGGGCTGAGAAGAGTTTAAGGGGGACTGGGGTTAAGGTTTGAGTTTGGGGTTTGAGGCTTAGGGTTGGCAATGCTACTAGACCTGTCTAACCCCTACCTATTAAACTCGAAAATAAAAACCCCGAAGCCTCCTCCGGAAACCCTGAACCTGGAAACCCCCAAACCCTACAGCCTTCAACGTTCTGAACAATCAAAGATCCCGAGCTAGCAAGGCTCAAGCGGGCTTTCACTCCAGGGTTGCGGCTTGAGAGGGGTGTAAGGAGCGATTGGGGTTAGGGCGGTTAGGGTTTTGGTTTCAGGCCCAGGGTTCGAGTTTGGGCTTCCAGCTTAGGGTTTCTAGAGTTTGGGGTAGAGTTTGGGGTCCGAAACTAGAAGCCTATACTGTAAATCCCGAGGCTACCTCCTGAAATCCTGAACACTCAAGCAAGGCTCGAGCGACCTTCCATCCATAAAGCTGCACATCGAATGGGCCTTGGCTGATCTACAGATTAAAAACCTCTCAGAACCCTGGAGCATGAAGCCTTGATCCGGACGTTCCAAGCGAATGCCAGCCGATTGGTCTAACCCCACCTACTTAATGTAGAATCTAGAAACCCAAAATCCCGAAGCTTCCTCCGGAAGCCCTGAACCCGGAAGCCTCGTCCCCAAGCAACCAAGATCCCGAGCCTCCCGAGCTATCCGGGCTTCGGCTGAGAAGAGTTTAGGGACCGACTAGGGTTAAGGTTTTGGTTTCAGGCAGGGGTTTCGAGTTTGGGGTTTCCGGCTTAGGGTTGGCGCCTACTAAACTAGAAACCCTACAATCCCGAAGCCTCCTCCGGAAACCCTGAACCTGGAAGCCTCAGCCCTAACCACTCAAGATCCCGAGCTAGCCTTTCCGGGCTTCGACTGAGAAGAGTTTAGGGAGCGACTGGGGTTAAGGTTTGAGTTTGGGGTGTCTAATCCCCACTAACTAGAAACCCTATCATCCGGCTGAGAAGAGCTTAAGGAACGACTGGGGTTAAGCTTTGAGTTTGGGGTGTCTAATCCACAACTACTAACTAGAAACCCTTTACTCCCGAAGTCTCCTCCGGAAACCCTGAACCTGGAAGCCTCATCCCCAAACACTGAAGATCCCGAGCTACCCGGCCTTCGGCTGAGAAGAGATTAGGGACCCACTGGCAAGGGTTTCGAGTTTGAGGGTTTCCGACTTAGGGTTGGCAATGCTAGCTGTTGGACCTGTCTAATCCCCACCTATACTAATTGAACTAGAAACCCTAACATCCCACAGCCTCCTCCGGAAACCTGCAAGCCTCTTCCCCAAACACTTAAGATCCAGAGCTAGCAGCTAGCCCTTTCAGGGTTTCGGCTTGAGAAGAGTTTAGGGAGCGACTGGGGTTATGGTTTTGGTTTCAGGCAGGGGTTCGAGTTTGGGTTCCGTCTTCGGGCTTCTGGGCTTTAGTGTTAGCTGGTGTGTATCCCAGATTGGGCTAGGAGTTGGTACTATTGACACCCAGCTAACATTTCTGCAACCGAGCTACAGCACGGGCCAATTCCGGATCCGGTGGCTGCATGGTACATGTGCATATCATGAACTAGCTCAGGCGACTTCTGTGCAATGCAAACGTGGACTTCGCATTCTGCTGGCATCGAATCTTTATTGCTGGTGATGAGGCGGCGAGGGCTCGCAAACAGATCTAGATGCTGATATGATCCAGCGAATCCCAAAGCGCCATCACCTCTGTCAAGGTTCTATCATTTTATAAATACCCAACCCCACAACTCGCACTATTAACCCTCCCCAACATGCTGTATACCACTATAGCCAAACCCTAAACCCTAAACCCCTAAACCCCTAAACCCTAGGCCTAGACCCTAAAAGCCCTATATAGTACCTAAAGCCGCTAGGTGTGCTCCACACACATGTACACTGGACTCTTTCGGAGGATCGCACGTCCCGATATAGGGGTTTGCCATTGCACAGTGCATGCAGCATGTGTATCACACGTCTGTCCTATGCAGGGTAATTGAATAGGCTCCTAAGGGCCTGCAGTCGCAGTGAAGGTACACAACTTCTCCGTGTGCAACAGCAGTGGAACCACCCCTGCGAGACATGTACATATTGCACTAGACCTATGCAACATCGACCCGAGGCCCTTGGTAACTACTCGTCGTAATTCGAAAACTCAGAATTCAAGCATCAGGAACGAGTGCTCGGCGCTTTCATGAAGCATTCAGCCAAGCCTGCGACGAAGCAGGTCATCAGTGACAGAAGTTCGTGTGTAGCATGGGTTCATCATCGATCGACCTCAAAACAATGTGTAGCCCCCTGCAACTGAACCCCTCAATCCATCCTGGACCTGAAAACCCGACCACACTGCAAGCCCGACCTGCACTTCAGGGTCCACAGCCGACGGCGAGATCCAGCCGGCCACGAACTTTGCGAGCTGCCACCTGCAAGCGTTATGTAGCTGTCGAGCAGGCTAGGGTCATATGCTATATGCATATACAACATCATCATTAGCATAGTGCAGCAAAAGCTACACATGTCGAAGCTCTCCTCGGGACCACTTCACGCTTGAGCCGCATTTTTTATCCACCTTGGGCCCGGGTCGGGCTGAACTGTCGATAATCATGAGGAAGCGGAAACGCTCGTACACATTATACAACCGAGTAGCACGTACCCCCGGGCAAGGAACCCAGCTGTTGTTCACATAAAAGGCCCTGTTACTCAGCAGCACGGTGATGCCCTTGTACTTCTTCGAATCCTGTTTCACCAACTGCGGCGGGGCGGGGACGACGAAGCTCCTGAGATTAAAAGCTATAGCTTGGTTCCCAGCACAAAACAACCCAGACCCACCTAATCACTGAGGCTGCACCTGTGGCTTCGCTTGCGACTCGGAAGACAACACCCGCAACGGTTTCAGGTTTAGGGGTTAGGGGTGTAGGTTTTGAGGTTTGGGATGTAGGTTTTGAGGTTTGGGGCAACCTTTTAGTATGTGGCGAAACCTGACTGTGTCGTTTTCCCTACATGCACGTGCTACAACAGGGTTTAGGGTTCAGGGTTTAGGAGTTTAGGATTTAGGGTGTAGGGGTTGAGGGTTTAGGCGCTTAGGGTTTAGAGGAGAAGCCCTCGAGCTCGTTAATGTCAAATCGTGCAGGCAAGAATCAGGGTCTTGAGTTCAGAGGGGTCAATGGGGCCAGATGGGAGGCAGCAGTCACTGATGCCGTCTTGCACATTGAGCCATTGCAAATTCTGCTTGGCTTTGGCCTGCTCTATAGCACGTTTGGCTGCCTTAGGGTTGGGGGCTTCGTGATCAGGTGCAGGTGCTGCAGGTAACGCAGCAGGCGGATCGGGGATAACAGCATTCTCAACCGCAGGGCCCGACTCCTCGGGCACGATAGCATTCTGAGCCGCTAAACCCAGCTCCTCGGACACGATAGCAGTCTGAACCGTAGGGGCCGACTCCTCGGACACGATAGCATTCTCAACCGCCAGGCCCGACTCCTCGGACACGATAGCATTCTCAACCGCCGGGCCCGACTGCTCGGGCACGATAGCATTCTCAATCGCAGGGCCCGACAAGGACAGCGTAGCAACATCCTCAGAAACCATATAGTGTATATATATATATATACGCAAATGTATATATATATATATAAATATGTACATATATATATATATATAGATCTAGAGAGAGAGAGAGAGAGAGAGAGAGAGAGAGAGAGAGAAAGAGAGAGAGAGAGAGCTCACGTCTGATTCGACAGCAGTAGGCGAATCGACAGCCACTCCGCCCGACCCGAACTCCGAAGCAGCATTCAGCTGAGCTGCATGACCATGGTCAGTCATGTCCACATCGCCAGCAGTACTAGCATCGGCAGGCACATCGCTCGACTCCTCCGATTCGAAAGCACCCGAGGTATCTCAGCAACCAGCCCTAGAGCAGAGTTAAGCAAAGGTGCGACCCCGGCCGGTTCCTCAACTCTGGCTCGCTTGGCTTCGCCATCGAGCTCATCTTCTCCGCGTCGCTTCTTGGGATTCTTGCCCGCCAGCTTTTTCATCGCTAGCTCCTGGAAATTAGGGCTTCTTAATATTCGTTCAATTAAAAATCAAACTCAACCTCGATGTTGCACCCATGCAACCCGCCCGGAAATGTCCTCACGAATTTGCCGTCTCAAAGCAGCTTGCTCGCCCCGAATCTCTCCTGATGAAACCTCCAGGCTCATAGCAACCTCGAAATTGAAGGGCAAGTTGCCGTTCGGTAGAAGTGGCTGCCGGTCCTCGGTTAAACATGATGCACCTTGAAGGCTCCATTGGTACCGTTGTTTCGCTTGCAAGAGTCCAGAAAGACTGGTACCGTAGCCTGAGTCGATTTAACACGATCACTAGCCGGCCGGTTCATGTCAATATATTCTGCAAAGCATTCAGGAAAATCGGTTGAGCGCCAAGGCACATCGACATCGATATCACGATCTGAGAGCTTCGTCGCAGCTGTCGTGGCTGCTGCCTGGGATGTGCATCCGTGCTTAGGGGCCCTATAGTGGCTGCGAGAATAGAACATGCAGTGCACATACACAGCAAGGGGCGAAATCGCCATCCAAACTTCTTGGTGCTAGCACCGGCTCCTCAATGTAAGCTATTATCATTCACACTTCTCCTGCTATCCTCGCGGGCTACTAGTCGGACGGGCCTGTGGTAGTGAGCCGTGAACGACGGCGGCCTGATGCGACTGTCGATGGGATTACAAATATTATATATATATATATATATAAGGCCTAGCTATAGGGTGAGGCTGGAATGAATTTCACGGGATCGACTTCGGGGTTTGGGGTCGGCATCCTCTAATAAGGGCCTGGCCGAAGATTGTATACAGAGATAAATCTAGCGAGAGTTCGTGCTAGAGACAGCGACACAGAGAGAGGGAGAGAGAGGGCGAGAGAAAGAGAGATAGATATCTAGAGAGGTGTGTGTGTGTGTGTGTACATACGAGAAGCAACAGGTTAGAAGATCCCTAAAACCCCAACCCTGAACCCAAGTGCATGTTGAAAGCCCTCGCTATAAGGCATCTAAATCCCTTTGCCTCAGCAAAGCTGAGCTTACTATTAGTATAATTAGAACCCCAATGATGAAGCCCGAGCACCTTGCAAAATCTGCGAAGACCGTCAGAGTGATCCCAGGGGTCACAGGGCTTAAGGATATAGAGTTCATAAAATACATACACAACAATATCTCTGATCGTAATTAATCTTATTATAAATAAGATTTCGCAGGGGGTTGGGCGCTAGGGGCACGCAGTTCAGTTATTAGTTCGTTTACCCAAACACGAAAACCTCAGCTCTAAACGCCAAACCCAAAAACCTAAGCCCTAAACCCCAACACCGAAAGCCTAAGCGCCAAACCCCAAACCCAAAATCCTCAGCCCTAAACTTCAAATCCCAACCACAAAAACCACAGCCCTAAACTCCAACACCGAAAACCTAAGCTCTAAACCCTAAATACCAAAAACCCCAGCCCTTAATACCCAAATACCAAAAACCCCAGCCCTATATCCCAAACCCGCACACCTAAGCTCTAAACCCCAAATACCAAAAACCCCAGCCCTATATCCCAAACCCGCACACCTAAGCTCTAAACCCCAAATACCAAAAAACCCAGCCTTAAAACAAACCCGCAAACCTAAGCTCTAAATCCCAAATACCAAAAAACCCAGCCCTAAACCCCAAACCCGAAGACCAAAGCCCCAAACCCCAAACCCGGAAACCTAAGCCCTAAACCGTAGACCATTAGCCCATCCGTCGCTTGATGTAAAGTGTCTTAGAACCGTCGTGACAAGCCGCTTCGGCAGCGATCGGCGAATCCTCGAGCTCGATGACCTGCGAAAAGGATTTGGGCTGCAGCGGTAGCGGTGGACCGAGATTATTAGGGAGCTATTAATCGATGCCTCGACATCCAAATTTTCGGGGGCACCGGCTTCCCCCGATGTGGCAAGAACCTGCGAACAAGTTAATTTGTTGCTAGTAGGAAATTGAATATCGAACAAACTGCCTCCAAACCAACAGCTGATCCAGATTCGCGGGCCGAGCAGGCCTTGCCAGCAATCGATATGTATGTATATATATATATATATATATAGCTAACAGCCGGGGACAGGATTAGGGATTATATCGAATGCCTGTACATCCACAGCTGCTCCAGCTTCGGGGGCACCAGCTGCCACCGATGTGGTAACCTGCGAACATGAAGTTGTATACTTTAGAATTTGTTGCTACTAGGATGGTACTGCCTCGGAACCAACCGCTGATCCAGATTCCAGGGCCGAGCGGGCCTTGCCAGCAATCGAATATGTATATATGTATATATATATATATATAGATGCTACCCCCCCCCTCCAGAATCCGCGCATCCACTGTTTGTAGCACCCAGGTGTTGTGTTCAGGCATTCGATTGCGCATTACTGGGACCGACATGAAGCCTCATAATATTGCCGTCAGTGTTCTTCTCGACTGCACGCATCCATGAGGTCCATGTCAACAGTCACAGTTCC